AATCAAGACCCTCACAAGTCGATACGTGTGCCCGACATCTGACGAAACTTCTAGTCCCTTATCTGCCTGGATTCTGGGCTGGAATCTGCAAGTTCCATGTGCGGTTCCCTTCGTCAAGTGACCAAGGATGGATGGCTACCGACTACCGTAATCTACCTTTCTGTTGGAATTGAGGCTTGTATGGATTTTCGTTAATAACTTTTATGTCTTTTTCTTCTGAATTCTGTTCCATAGTCAATTAACATAGTTAATTGATTACATTTTTACCGACATTACCTTTAAATTTTTAAAGTTTCAATTTCATTCATGTTATTCTTGACACTTTAGTGAACTTTAAATATTATTTTTTTTGGATTTGCCGTATTCAAAAAAATCTATATTTTTTACTTAGCTTTTAGTACCGTCCTATTTTAATATTGCCTCATATTTTATAATTTTTTTAAAAATCATAATCATTAATCTGAACTGAGGTCAAGGTTGGACAATATGTTCTAAATTTAAGCTTCTTGGGTAAGTACCTTTGACGCCAAAAATTGATCAATTTTTCATCTGGGTTATATTACTTATAAACTCCTTTATACCTTCAACGTTTACCCTTTGATTTCATACAGGTATAATTTGAATTTATCGAATTTATTTATTTTTTAGCAGAAGCTGACCATATTATTTGTCAATAGAATTTTTCAATCATTTTTTTTTAAATTAGTTTTCTGGAAACTTAAATCTTTATATTTTCCTTTCAAATTGATGATATGGCCAGCGACTGTTAATAAACTTATATGGCAACCATATTGAGGTACATTGTATCATCATCTTTTTTTTTTTTCAACTTGATGAGACTGAGTAAAAGTTAACTTTTTTTATCGATTTTATTTAAAGTGTTTCACCAATATTTGATTTTATACTTTAAAATTTATCGATACTTGATCACTGTGAAATATATACTATTTTAATTTGAAATTTACTTAATTGTTTTATTGGTTTAACTACATGTCAAGATTTGAGTACTGTGCATTATTTATTTCTTTTTCAGAATTACCAATAACCGTTTGCTAATTATTTTCTAGGTGTGTTTCTGAATTTTCACACTTCCATATGTTAAGCAGTTTTATTATTATTATTTTTTTTTTTAAATTCAGTGGCGCCCTTGCAATTGTGTACTGATTAAACTATCAACCCACACCAAATAATTTTTTGCTGAACAAACCGAGCATATTATGGGCCTCTTGTTAATTCATTAACAAAAGGGGTTACAACTTACAAAAAAATTATTAAAATCTTGTGCAGTCAATTTTTGTAGTTCTTGTTTTACCACGATACTCATTAATTATTTCCCACATGCATCTAATTGGGTTGGTAGAATTTCTTATTTTAGTTTCATTGCACTGAATTTTGGCCTTTCTAATAGTTTTTTTGTAGCTTTGACGGAGATCTTTCATATATTCCTTAAGCTGATTTGTTGGATGGAGTTTAAAGATGTCATTTAGGTACTGAAGGTGTTCTCTCATATTTTTTAGATCATTAGTAAACGAATCAATGTTATTTGTTTGATTTTCTCTAACTTTAAATGTTTTTTTCTGGGAACGACTCATTATATGCCAACTCAATTAGTTGCACAAGGCTCCAGGGCCGTAGGTAGAGTCAAATTTGTTATAGGGCATGAAAAATTTGATATAGGGCATGCACTACTCCCCCCCCTTAAATTTTTTATAGGTAAACAAAATGGGAGTAATGGCGCCGAAGGCAAATTTTACAATAAACAATATCAAATAACATCTCTGGAAAGTAATCAAAATGGCGCGTTCAGGCAATAATTTTTGAGGGACCTCTTGTACTTGTACTAACTTGTAAAAATAACTGTATACCTACCAACTTACTCAATTTCAGGTCTATTCATTAGCTGTGGTCCAACCGACATGGTAACCGTTCCAGAACCAGTAATTTCCAATTGCCCACCTAATTTTCAATAAGTTGAACGTTTATCCTACTTGACAAATTAATTGATCGACTAGAAATTACCGTTCTAGAACGGTTCTCATGTCGGTTGGAACAGTGCTTGCATCTACTCTTAAATTTCCTAGAGAAACCTCAACGTATGCTGTGTTTTAAAGGTAGGGCATCATCATTTGAAAGATAGGGCATTGCCCCCAAATGCCCCCCCTGGCTACGGCCCTGCAAGGTTCTGAAACATTATCTCTACAGAAGTAGGACAGTCTATAAATCTAAAATCAATTTCAAAAATTCTTTGATAAAACATGTTTTTTCCTACCTGTGTTATGGGCTGACACATCTTTTCTGAGTATTTTTGATTACTTTTTTGAGAAGGACAATTTAACGAGACAAGTTGCCCATCCTGATCTGATTTGGCTTTACAATGCAAGCAAGATATTCAGTTTCTGAAAAATTTATAAAAATATTATCCAGATAGTTGTTACCGCGGGTAGGTTCAAAAACCGTCTGGGCTAATCCATACGACTGCAGCATATCATTTAGCTCTTTACATGTTTTTTCACTTGTACAGAATTTTACATTAAAATCACCTGCAAGAACTATTTTATTATGTGTATCCGGTTTATTTGAAATTTTATCAAGATTGTTCAACAAGATGTCAAAATCTCCCCCTGGAGATCTATATACTGATATTATTACTATATTATATTTATATGATCTTACTCCACAAACTTCAATACATTTTTCCACACTCAGCTCCCTAATATCTGGCAACTCTTTGTAACTACTGCCCTTTTCAAGTAGGACTGCTGTTCCTCCTCTAGTATACATTTTTCAGGAGAATGATGCTGCTATTTCCAAGTTACCAATCTACAGAAAATTTATATCGTGATCCCTCAAGAAATGCTCAATTATACACATTATACCAATAGCTTTATTGCTGATAAATGCTTCTAGTTTATCTGTGATGTCTCGGATGGATTGGGTATTAAAGTGGAGCACAGAGAGCTCCTCCTCACTACTTGTACAGTCTGGTACGGCTCTAGTGTTGGCTAATTTGCCTGTGTCCTGGGGCTTCGTCTGGCATGGGTAAAATGGTTCACCATGATGCCTTCACCCCATATTTCTGGCACCATTATTTTGCTTGTATCTTCGTCTGCCACTTCAATTTCATAGGAGCTTTTGTAGCTGCTGCTCTTTGTCTTCATTTTGTAGCACTTGGAATCAGCCTCAGCGCTATCTTTTATGTATGCTTGGACCTCTTCTTCAGTCACCGAAGACGAGAGTCCAGTGAGAACAATGTAGGCCTTCTTTGGCGCAACCTGCAAGGAAAACTGTTTGCATCCTCCATGTACAGGATTTTTGCGGGATGTATTACCTCTTCTTTCATGCAACTTGCGTCCAACCATTTTGCATTATGCCTGGAGTTTGTGTCTCATCATTTATGGATGATTTTTCGACGATTTTTATAAAATTTTGGGAATTTTGTGCAATGTTTTTGTTCTTGTCGTCTGTCAGCTGCCACTTTGGAGATAGTGGTGCGGCATGATTTTTGGTTGGTACACAGAGTTGTTTCGCAACATCGGCTCCGCCGGGCTTTTTTTATGTTGTCGGATTGGTCCGGTTTTCCGGCATGCTTGCTTGATGATGATGTCAGCGGTTTCTTTGGCGGGATTTTTGATGGAATTTTAAACTAAATTTTCTTGGAGTTTCCCGATTTTCTCACCCATTAGACAATTGTTTTCTTGTAGCAACACGTTCTTTTTTTCCAGCAATTTAATTATCATTTGGAAGAGCTCTCTCTCTCATGCTCCCAAGCTTCTTTTTCGGCATAGAATGGTCAACGACGGCACTTGGCTGCTTTCTGGGTCGCCGCTTGGATAAGGCATGCCGAATAAAAGCCTTTTTCACATTTTCCACATTGGATTATGTTCTTTGTTTCTTTCTTGCAGTGGTAGCACTTACTAACAAGTTTTTCACTGGAATGGGATGAGTAACTTCGGAGTCATGCTGTTTTATATATTTCAGAGATAGCTATGCCCGCTGAAAAGTTATTCTAACTGAGATACTGGATGGTGTAATTAAAGTCACAAGAACTCTCCACGTAACAACAGTATTCTCAAGCAAGTAATCTTCCGTCGATGATAACCTAGTTTTAAAGATGTAGGGACGAAACCTATCAATCCCTCAGTATTGAACAACTTGTTTCGGCATGACCATGTAGGTATTTTCGAAAGCCAAAACCGCTTCTCAAAAATTAGGTTTTTTTTCCGTGCAGAAAACTTCTTTATTTCTGAACAACTTCTTCTCTACAAGGCGCGAATTAGACCATGTATGGAATACTGTTCTCATATCTAGAGCGATGGTCCCAAACATTCGTTGGCTTTATTAGATGCAGTACAAAGAAGAGCAATAAAAATGATCGATAATCCAACTCTCACCCATTAATTGCAATATCTGGAACATAGACGCACGGTGGGCGACTTGTCGTTATTCTATCGCTATTACTATGGGAGATGTTCAGACGATCTGGCCAGCCGCATTATAGCTGGGAGAAGTAATTCAAGAACCACAAGCGCCTCACAGGCATCCCATCTGTATGTGGTATAGTTGGCTACCCCGAGGATCTCTAAATATAGGGCTCCTTTTTGGTGGTACTGCCCACCTCTGGAACCCCCATGCCTCCTACTTCATTTCCTGAACGGTATAAGGTCTGTTCTCACAAGAGTTTCTGACAGTTTGCAAACTGGTATAAAGCATCGCCCATACATGCTTTTGATGTCGTCGTTTCAAGATAAATCGGTAACCAAGCTGAGCGATTTTTTCTGACAGTTTGCAAACTGTCAAAGAACAGAACATTAACCTTAAGGTGTTCAAACAGAGGATTACTTAATTTCTTTCGCTCATGAATCAATAAACAATGGAACATTATTTCCAATTTTATCTCTGAAGTACAACGTTATTGATTTTGGATAAGCATATCATTTCTTTATCAATACACAAACGATTTTTCTGATTTTGATAATATTGTAATAGCCGTCCTTTTCTAGGTGTTTTCGATTTTGGCGGTGGAGGATCCGAAATGGAAGATTTTCTTTACCTCGAAGAATTTCTCAAAACAGCCCAAGAAGAGGATTTATTCGCTATTGTTCGATCTGGGCCGTTCATTTGCGCCGAGTTTGAATTCGGAGGTTTTCCAAGTTTTATTCTTAGAGATGGCGACAGCTTGGTGGTTCGCAAGAGTAATGAATTGTATATGAATTATGTATCAAGGTACTCATGATCAATAAACTTCAATTTCCCAATTTGGTTGAAATAAATTAAAACATTTCGTCATCCTTGTGGCTTTTTCAAAATGAGGAAAATGGTCCGTGATGGTTATATAAATGACATATGAAAAGAAAGCGACATATAATGAATAGCAGGTACCTATTCTGTACCCCAAAATCTGAATATAATTGTTTTTAGGTCTGATTGGTCGTTAAGTCAATTGTGTGTGTTTATTCCAAGTGACTCAAATTTGAAGCCTGTATTTTCATTATAAGTCATCTCCACTATTGTAATGTCTTTTAATTTATTTCAACCAATAGTGGGAGTATATTCATGATTTAACAAAGCTTTTATTTTCCTATAGATGGTTTAACGTTCTTATGCCAGTCTTGGCCAAACACCAATTCACTAAAGGAGGTCCAATAATCATGTTCCAAGTTGAAAACGAATATGCATTGACTGGCTACGCTGATCATGCCTATTTATCATCTTTGAGACAGTTGATGTTAGATAATGGTAAGCAAAAATTTATCTAAAATTATATAAAATCATCTATACTTAATTTTCTGTTTATTGTCTCAGGTATTGTAGAACTTTTAGTAACATCCGATAATCCATGGAAGGGAGTCATTGGTACTGATAAGGATTACTTCTTTATGACTGGAAATTTTGATTCTGATCCTCAAAAGAACTTGGACGATCTTAACGCTCTACAACCTGGCCGTCCTGTTATGGTCATGGAGTATTGGTCTGGATTGTTTGATTATTGGTCCAAAGACCATCAAACCAAAAGTGTACAAACTTTCCAGTCTGTTTACGAATCTATTCTGGCCTATCCAGCATCAGTTAATATGTATATGTTTATTGGTGGTACGAGTTTCGGATTTTTGAATGGTGCTGAGAATTTTGCTTTTGATGGCTGGAATACAGACTTTTTGCCAATGACAAATAGCTACGACTATGGCGCCCCCTTGGCGGAAAATGGAGACTATACAGATAAATATTGGGCAACTCGGAAACTTTTGGCTAAATATAATCCAATTAAAACTAAACTACCCGATCCTCCAGCTTTGGCTAACCGTTCCTTGTACGAATTCGTTAAAATGGAAAAACAAATTAGCTATGGAGTATTATTAGCTGAGGCGAGCTCTTATCGAACTCATAATCCTGTATCAATGGAGAAAATGGATATAAATGGAGGCAGTGGACAAAGCTATGGATATGTTGTTTACAGAAAGCGAGGACTTAATCTAGCTAAGAATTCCTATTTGGAAATTGATGGCCGAATAAGTGATACTGTGATGGTTCTAATCAATGGAAAACGAGTTTCGCCAATTTTAGAATCAAAAGCTGATTTAGATGGTTTTGGAACTTGGAGAACCTTGAATTCTTACTTGTTATTGAATTCTGATGAGGATTTACTTAATGTTGAATTAGATTTAATTGTTGAAAATTGGGGTAGAGTAAATGTAGGTGATTCCAGACAATATAAAGGAATCTGGCAGGGAGATATTAAAATAAATAACCAAGTAGTTACTGACTGGATAATGTACGCATTGGAATTTAAAAAGTCTTGGACAAACAGCCTGAAATATTGGGAAGATATTCCTGCAGCTAAAAATAATTCTTCTCCAATTCTTTATAAAGGTACTTTAAATATTAAAGGAACTCCAGGCGACACTTACGTCTACACAGAAGAATGGACTAAAGGTATTGTAATGGTAAATGGATTTGTTCTGGGCAGATATGCTAAGATGGGTCCACAGCAAACACTGTATTTGCCTGGAACATTGTTGAAGGAAGGAGCGAATGATATTATGCTTTTCGAACAATTCACTGCAGCTGATGGAGTTAAGTTTGTTGTTGAACCTGTGTATAACAATCATTAAAATATTTTCACTCTTATGTGTCTTCTTTTTAAGCTCCCGCACGTTGGTATGATAAAACATGATTCGTGTCATTAGAACTAATTTTATAAATTTTCTGGTGCTAAGGAGACAACACTGTTGTTCATCTATCTAAATAGTATTGATGTTTTGATTACATTATAAATATTATACACGTTTCGTTGATAGCACTTTCAAAATGAGTGAGACTTTAGGTATCCAAGACGAAGACAAGTGTCATGAAGGTCATATGTGGAATAGGTTTGAGTAAGTCTATAGAATTCAAATTTATACCCGTTAATATTTTTCTAACTAGCTCACATGCCTATAGTTTTATAACTAGCAGTGATATTTTGATAACTGATTTATTTGTACTTTACTCTAACTTAATTTTTCTTGGGCTACCTAGAATTTAAATGTAAGGATATAAAAAATTAGATTAGAATGCTTATTGATGATACATTCGCTGTAGGTATATATAAGAACATTCATAAAAGCTCTATAGATATTGAAATAAATATCTCAATCATGTTTTTGGAAATAGGAAAACATGGAAATGTTGTTGAAATTTTCATAGTGAAAACTTAGCCAACCATTAAACTATTGGTTGTGAAAGCTATTTGACACTGTCTTAAGCATTTGTTAATGAAGTGCCCAATGATTTTCCGCGTTTTGAAATAAAAAGTCCAGGTTAATTTAAACGACCTTTTGAAATGTGGATGGAAATTTCAACCTAATTGCTATCAACCATTAAGTACCTAAAACATCAGGCTTTAAAAATTTATCCCGTTTTATCGCCTTCAGATCCTGTCCCATCCTGGCCGGATCCTTCAATTTCAGCTTTTCTCGAATCATTATTCCGTCAAATCCTTATTACCTTTCCTCTATGCCATACCCATGATGCTCTGATATAAAGCATCTACGTGATATCCCCGTAGTTATGGAAAGGTTTTCCCCAGTTTGCGCGCCTCTGTATCGACATTATCCAGTTCGAATGAAAGTTTACGACCTGGACAGTGACGGAGAGCCATTCACCTTTCGAATTGAAAAATTACAGAAGCATTTAAACTATTTTTTTGGGCAATACTGAATTTAACGCAATTAAAATATGTATAATTAAAAAAAAAAAAAAAAAACGACCAAATCCTGAGTACCTCATAGGTACATCCTGGAATTATCTTTCAAATTTGAAATATTTTGGATCTATAAAGATAAATTCCTATGATGTGCAACTTTTGCTATACAAATAAAAAGTCATTCACAGCGGATATATTGTTTTATTCAAACATATTTTTCTGTTTTTATCCAATCTGATCATTGTTTTACGCCACTGGCCTTATCCAGTGTGAGAATGAGAGTTTACGATATTTGGGCAGCCAGGGACCCGAAGCTGACGGCTTAGTTGCGATACAAACTGTCAAATCGGGACCTGATGGACAACTGTCGGACGTGCGTCGCATTTGATTGCCCTTATTTCTCCTGGCTGATGGGGAATCAATACGGTTTTCCTAACTCGGCCATTTTGCAGACGACGTTGTTTCTATCCAGGGTATAACACGTGCGATAAGGAATTTTCAAATATTAAATAATTTAATATTAAACGTGTTACTGCAGTGATCCCACCGCGACTGCTCCTTGAATTGAATCTCATCTCCTCCTTGCTATAGTCTGATTGGTATTCGAAATGCACAAGGTCGATTGTTTTAATTGTTTCTCCGTTCTGGTGCAACATACAATTTAACCGGAAGCACGTATATTCTAAATGTTGTAATTCTACCTCTAAAGCCATGCACTAAACCATCCTGCCTGCCCCGGAGACACTAGTGTTGTAGCAGCGAACGCGCTTTACCTGAAATAGCGATATATTTTTCGGCAATATCCAGAGAAGCGAGCACCTAGAGTCGACATTAGAATAAAATTTAGAATGGTCTCTTGCTGTTTTTGTTTGTATTTTAACTAATGAAAATTGCTGCTGCTGAGGGAGTGGAATTGAAGCGAATACAAATTGGTGAATTTTGTGCTCCAGACAAAGGAACAAATTTAAGAAACTGATACTACAAAATAATTAAAAAATTAAATAATCTTATTAGCTTTATAATAAAGTAGATCTTTATTTTATGTACACTCTTTTACTCCAGAAGATATGATGAAAGAAGACTACAAAATGAGAAAAACTTTTAATTATAATAATAACTTATTCAGCAATATGGCAAAACAACCTGAAAATGTCACAATTTTCAGAAATATCAAACTTTTTGAATAGCTCCAACCTCTTTCCTCATTGAATAATATTTTTTTTTAAATTCAATAGATTCCTGCAGCATCTGCATGCTAAATCTAAATAGTGGTTTAGTCATTATATCTGCCTTATGCATTTCTGTTGCTACTTTTTTATTTGTATGAAACTTGTGTTCTAACATCGGAGCTTATTTAAATCCATATAAACTTCTTTCAAGCCGACTAACTTGATCTGTGAAATCTTCATTTGACGATTCCACATCTTGCTTCATGTGCAGTGCTTTATCTAGATATCTATATAACAACGCTGTGGTTACATTGAATTCTGTTAGGAACAGTTTTTTACTAGCAGCAATGCTCAACAAAGATCCAATTGTACCTCTTTCTGCTACTGGGCTTGACGGCTTGATCATATTCTCCGCCTTCTCTTTGTGTATTTTTCTACAGAATCGGCAGGCATCATCTTCAGCTCATATAGTCACCTTTACGAAATCGCGTTTTTCCAGTAGGCAACTTATCCAGCAGACAAATATAATTTTCCTGGAGGGACTGAATTTCGCTCTTCATAGCTAACTGCAAATTATCTCGCTCTCTGCCAGTAATTGCTTTATTCTAGCTAAATGGTGCTGTTGGTATTACAATTTCAGCAGCAACTATCATGGAATGGTTGTCAAATCTTATTATTGGTCTTTGGATGTCTGCTTTTTTCTCCGCAATTGTCGTCTTGTTGCTATCAAATCTTCTTCTACCGCATCTTGTGTATCCCCATCAACTTCCGGTTTAGTAAACTCTGTTGTGCTCATATCTTCTTCCAGCTCTTCTTAGGAGTTTTTCCCAGGTTCATCATTTTCTTGAAAATAGGACAAAGAAAAATTAGACAAATGTTTAAATTCTTGAAAAGCTGCATCTCTCGATCTTCCTAAGTTCTTTGTATCTTTACACCATATCCACCATTACTATCAGAGCCTATTAGCCTTCGATTATCACTTTCTGGACAACCATTTTCTTGTAGTGTATAAGGCATAATCAATCTTTGTTGTTTAATCCCATATAGAACAAGAATTTTGCCAACTTAGTGACTTACAAACTCACCACCGTTATCTGACAAAAACTATACGACCTGCAGCTTCAATGTCGGCTAACGGGGCCCAGCTTTTGTGAAACTTCTAATTTTTTTCTCATGACATAATATACTTATGTTTAGGGTGGCCCCTTTATTTTGTCCTATCTCGGTTTATGGAAATCAATATATTTTATGACAAAAAGTTTCATATAAAAGTTGTAGGGTTTAAAACATCATAGATATTTATTATATTAGGAGTATAAGTAATACTTATGTGACGCACATGGAAATTTGAACGTCGAGCGCAGCGAAGCGAATCAAATCCATGTAAGTCACAAGTCACATGAAGAATATTTATACTCCGAATGAAATAGGTACAATATTTTATTTTCAAACGATATTTATTCCAAATAGTGCACAATTTTTAACTTAAATTATGACAATCACATTTAGAAGTATCACCTTTATAAGCACCTATACCTGAAATACCTCAAATCGCTATAGGAGAACATGTAGGTATCACGGCGTATAAATATTATACTCCGCCGGAGTATAACATTTATACGCCGCTCAAGCTGAAAGTCATTGAAGTGACTCTTATACCTTCTCGAAATGATCACAATTTTTTTTTTTTAATGGAACACCCTGGATATTTTTTTTTTTTTTTTTGATAGCGCGTTTAAAGACAAATATAAATATATTCAGGGTGTACCATTTAAAACGAAAAACGAAACAGGCTAAATATTTGATGCCACGTTTATTTTTTTTAAAATAGCTGGTATACGTAATTTGATTTTCAAAAGGGGAAGTTTCCAGCAACCATTTTTAGCACTTCAACTTCAACGCTCTAGGTGGGGTCGGACCAAACCTTACTATTTCAAATGGAACAAGGGGTCGAGTGATACCTGTCTTAAAAGAGCGTTCAATTCTCTTCAATATGATATCATTTGGAAGAAAAATGAACGCACTTTTAAAACAGGTATCACTCGACTCCCTGCTCTATTTGGAATGGTAAGGGTTGGTCCCACCCCCCCCTAGAGGGTTAAGTTAAGTGCTGAAAATATTTCAAACACTATACAGGGTTTTCGAAATTAAGTCGGCACTATTGCTGACTCGCTTATTATAAGGGTTACAAAATCGGTTAAATTGGCAAACTAGTAGCATTTCTTCCGCTAAATGAAATGGTAAAAACTGAAAAACAATTCAGCATCTTGTATTCGAGATATTTTCAAAAAATTACTTTTATTTAATGGAACACCCTGTATATGTTTGATTGTAAATGTTTTTCCCACCAAAAATGTTCTTTTGCACTATTATTGCCCTAAAATCAAAAATAACTGAGTTATTCGACATTTAACATTTTTTGAAGTTGGCCATGTACCTATTGTTATCTAAAAGAGTAGTTTGTATCTTACATTCATTATACAGGGTGTGCCATTTAAAAAAATGAAGAACAACAAAAATTTTCAAAGCTTAGCAACTCCAAAATACAAAGTGAATGAACTTATTTTTGAAAATTAGTTGACAAAGTAGACGACATATGTTTCCCTTTAGTCAAAGTTCCACTATAAAATAATTATTTTCAACGTTTCTACAATAATGTAGAAATTGGCTGTTCCCCGAAGTAACTGCAAATATACCAGAAACCGTACATAACAACCCTATCAAACTATATTTTAAAAATAATTAATCTGATGTGTCACACTTTTTTGATACCC